TCTGACAACCTCCCCCCAAAAAAGAATACATGGGTCACAGGGAATGTTGTGCCTTCTGTTCTCACAACTGTGGATTCTGCAGGATTGGAGGTGGTGACTTCCGAAGGTGGGGTAGTCTTTGCTACAACTGCGTGGAGTTCAACTGCTCTGTCCCCTAGTCCTGTTTCTTTCTTTCCCGCCAGGTCTTTAACCCCAGAGCACTCTCCAAATAAACTCTGCACACAAATACTCACCTCAAAGAGAACCCAACTTGTGATACCATCACTAACAAAGACAAGTACAAGCAACCTAAGAGGAAAAACTATTTGCATACACATCACAATAAAAAGCTATATTCTTTAATATAAAAAGCACTACCACAAACTAATAAAAATTTTTTAAAAGAGCATACACTCTCACAAACTAATAAAACTTTTTTGGGGGGGCTCCCTGCTCGGCCAGGAACCTGCTTCTCCCTCTCCCACTCCCCCTGCTTGTGTTCCCTCTCTCTCGCTGTGTTTCTCTCTGTCAAATAAATAAATAATATCTTTGAAAAAAAAAGCATACTCTAAGAATAAACAAGAAAAGAAGACTAATATCATTGCTTTTACAAGGTACAAATTGCATTTATCAGCAGTAGCAAAACTGAATATGAAAACAAAGGCACAAACATAATGACCTTGGAAAGCAAATGTGACGCTCCTCCAGAAGAGCCACATAGAGACTCTCTGAAATTGCAGGTGACAGAGGAATCGATTTTGCGTGATGCAATGGGAGAGGCCTCCTAGGGCAGGTCTTCTAGTGCATTAAACATAAATAGCTTATATACATAAAGGGAATTCAGCTGAACACTGCTTGAATTAATTCATTTAAGCGCTTACTTGTGGGTCTTTTATTACTTCTGGATAGTTTCCTGAGTTCTCATCCCCAGAGGCCTTTGTTATGCTAAAAAAGCATCCAGGTAGAAGGACTAGAATCAGACTGTCCTGAACAACTTTGTGGCCTAACAACTAGGATTGGGGTGGCTTCATCCTGCATTCATTTCCTTTTTAACCTTAAAGTATAAATGCAGTGGCCAACACCTTGGTAAGTACCTGAAAACCCTCATAATCTTATCAATCAATAACATTAAGATACGTAACTTTTCCCCTGGCAAGCTGTCATGATTTTCCTGCTTAATGCCTGCTTCAGTTTCAGGATATGCTCAGCACCTTAAGCTGTCCCAATGACACCATCCTAACTACATTAAACATCGCTCTACCTTTAACATAAAGAACATGATAAACAACCTTATTTAACAACTTCCATATAAATAGTAAACTTTATTTAAACCCCATCCTTTAAGGACATTCTGTGTCTGTTACTTAAACTGCATTTTTTATATTTTTGCAAAGTACAGAATTGGGTTGGGTAGGCTTTTCTGAGATGGAAACAACATACTGGAAATGTTTCTATACAGTGTTTTTTCCTGTAGACTCTAAAAATGTCACACTTTAAAGCAAATAAAATAGCCCTTCCAGAGAGGTAGAGCATATATATATATATATATAT